TATATATATATTTGGAAATATATATCTATAAAATAATTATATATATACATATATAATATATTATTCTATATACTTGTGATTCTGGAACACCACCCTCATCTCTGATTAGCAAGAGATAACTCTGATCATTGATAAAGACTTCCTTTTTAAAACGACCACCTTCTGGAGATTCCTCATGCATAAATGAACCAGTTAAATATCTATGAACTAAAGCAGATTTCCCCGAGTCAGATGAACCAATAATTCCCAAATGTAATTCTGGGACATCTCTAGCTAATGTCCATTCATGACTATTAACAAATGAATCTATTAACAAAAGATTTTCATTCATAAAAATTCAAAAAAATAATGTCTTATTGTAATATGAAAGAAACATATTTAGAAATGTTAAAAATATATATATATATACATTACTTTCTTTGGAAATACGTATCATACCTTCAATAGCAACAACATGTTCGCGAATTTGTTTAGCAATGTGTGTATCAGATATCAGATCTATTAAGTCATAAATAGCGTAAATTGATGGATGAACACTTTCGAAACGTTGTATTTCTTGTCTAATTGCAAGGGAATGATCGTGCCCACTTTGCTCAGTTGTCATTTTTTTAAAATTGCTTAAAGATTGGTTTTCAAAATCACATTACAGATATAGCCTCGAACTGTATTGTACACGAGTCAATGATTGAAATGTTTTCACATAATTTGAAGTATCGAAACTTATCTGTTATCATGTAACACATGTCAAATTCGACTATTTATCAACATTATTGGACGAATGAAACAGGTTATTTGGCACTATTACATAAAGCGTAACTCCGCCTTTTTTGGGTGAGAAACACAGATTGTACGGTCAAACTGCTAGCAAAAAATTATTAGATTCAATATTTCTGCAAATTAACTTGGCCCTTTGTTGTAAAAGATGTTATACGTCGTTGAAGTACTTTACGTAAAGTTTATATGAGACTTCATCATGTTCATGGTTTTATAGATCTGTCCAAAGTGTACGAAGGCCTACATTGCCAACCAATAAATGTTAGGTACCGTTGCAAAATGTAATTGAATGTAATTGCGGTGCAGTGTATTTTTATTTTCAAAAAAATTGTACGATCTGATGTCTGTCAATGATCATCATTATAAAAAAGTCATAACTAATTGTAATAAAACATGTTTTATAATGACGTAAGACCAACCTAAATCCATCGATGTTCTGAACATAGATGTAACTAGATAAAGTTTGTTTGTACTTTAGTGCATGAATTAATTATAGTGTCTCTTGTGACACTTACTATTCATTTCATGAAATATTTTTTAAATAATACAATGAAAAAGAAAGTATTATCAAATATCAATTAAGAATTAATAAATTCAACGATTTTTGCTTAAAATACTTTTATAGATTTGTTTTATAGAAGAGCAAATAAAAAAAAAAAATAAAAAAAAATTTATGAAAACATTCATAATGAATAATGTACGAATTGATGATGATATTTATGATGGGTATAATGATTATCCATCCATATATAGTATTAAAGATTTTGAACAAGATGAGTTATTTCAAGAAACACTGCATACAAGCTATGCGAAAAGATTAATTGTAAGTAATGATATGTATGTAATGAAACAGAGTAGTTACTCCAAATAATGAAATTTTTTAATTATGTAGTTTACACCAAAAGTACCAGGAAGTGCTATGCGTTTGGGTACTTCAACTGGAGTAAATAAATATATTATTACTTTATATTATATTTTATAATATTGTTTTAATATCATATTAATATCATATATTTTTAGTTTCATAGAAGTAGTACTGGTATATCAATTCGTCCTACTACTAGTGGACTAAGACCAATGACTGCAGTCAGAGGAGCTGGTTACACTAGCAGCAACCGTCAACCATTTGATCCGTTAAATATGAGTAGCACTACTAAAGGTTCTGCATCATCTTTAGAAAGTGGAAAGGAAGACACGTAAGATTATGATGATTGATGATAAAATTAAATTAAATTATGTAATGAAGAGTAATATTTCAATATTTCATAAAGACCTGAAGAAAAAATAAAAGTGGCTGAAAGGAAAATTATGGACCTAATAGAAAGTTCAGTACAAGCAGCATATGAAAACAATGCAAGAGTTGCTTTAGAGAGAGCTAGAGAAGCTTCTTCAAAAGAAAGAGCTGTTATTAGATTACAAGAGCAAGCTGGCCTTAGTGACAATCATAATGTAGATTTAACATTTGCTGTAAGGATTAAATGTTATCCTTCAAATATGTTTCATGGATATTAATTTTATTTATTTACATTAAAAACTGTTAATTTTATCATTTTTCAGGTCATCTTTAATTTGGCAATCCAGTATACTAACAATAATATGTTTACTGAAGCCATTGCAACTTATCAGGCTATAACGAGGAATAGAATGTTCAGTAATAGTGCTAGATTAAAAGTGAACATGGGAAATATATATGTCAAAATGGGACAATTGTCTCAAGCAATTAAAATGTATAGAATGGCATTTGATCAAGCTCCAGCAGCTCATAAAGATTTAAGGTAATGAAGTGATTGTGTATTGCTGTAAGAATCATTAGGCTATTAATACTAATATTAAGTTTTATGTTTGTCATTTATATTAATTCACTAAATAATTCGCAGAATAAAAATAATGCATAACATTGGAATGTTATTCGTACAAATGGGTCGTTTGGAAGAAGCAGCTAATAGTTTTGAATGGGTCATGAAAGAAAGAGCTGAATTTAAAGCAGGCTTGCATGCTGTTTTATGCCATTTTGCATTATCTCATAGGGATAAAATGAAAAGATCATTTTTAGAGTTATTAGAGGTTCAGCTTAACATAGATCAGGAGGACAGATATAATATAAGTACAGTGAGTTGGGCACGTTATAAATATCACTATGCAAAGTGTTTTTCTGAGCATTGCCCACACTCAATAGCTATATAAATATTTATTCTTGCGCTTTAAGTCATATTGGGAAACACATTTTTGGAAAATAATTATGCTTTTATGCACTAATACTTTTGTGTAGCAAGTTTATTGATAGTACTGATAATATCCACCGAGCACAATGTAAATGTACATTAATTTCCAATAAAATATTTATCTTGGTTCTTTTTTCAAATTTTTGCATCTTATTTTGTAGGATGATGTTGCTTCTAACATACTGAACGAGATTTTAAAAAACGATGACTTATCTAAGTTAGAGAAAGAATTAAAATCGGAAGCGGAGAGAACTATTCTTTGTGCTGCAAAACTCATTGCACCTGTAATTGAGGATACACTTACAGCTGGTTTTGCTTGGTAAGACTTGCATATTGCATAAAATATTTTTTGTTAGTTAATTGCAATCAAATTATAGGTGTGTGGATACTATAAAGTCCTCAGCTTACGGACCGTTAGCTGCTGATTTGGAAATAAGTAAAGCTATGGTATTTTTACATAATTGGGAAACTCAATTGGCTATTGATACTTTGAAAATGTTTGAGAATCGCGAAAGTAAAGCTAATAGTTCCGCTGCAACTATGCTTTCATTTATATATTTTCTTGTAAGAAATTATATCTGTTTTCATTAGCCATGAATAAAGGATCGATAAAATAATTCTTATATCACGTTTAGCAAGGGGATTATGATCAAGCCGAAAGATGCGGAGAAATTGCTCGAAGTGCGGATAGTTATAATGCAGCAGCTTATGTTAATTTATCAGCCTGCGCAATTAGGAAGGGTGAATTAAATATTGCTAAGGAATTTCTCTTATGTGCATTAGATACGGATGCTAGTCACGTGCAAGCTCTTTATAATTTGGGTAATTATTATTAACGAGGACATATTAGTATTAACTATTTTATGAAATCTCATCTAATAGGATTAATATATAAAAAACAAAGTATGTATGAAGAAGCATTGGAATGTTTTTGGAAACTTCGTAACATTGTTAGATATGATCCACAAACAGTATATCAAATTGGTCAGTTATATCAACTTATGAACGACGCAGACCAAGCAATAGAATGGTATTATGATTTTATGTGTGTGTGTTTGTGTGTGTGTGTATTAAATTTCATTTTAATTTGAGTGATTAATATCTAAATTCGTATTAGGTACAATCAATTACTTGGTATAATACCATGCGATCCTGGAGTTTTGCAAAAATTAGGTGAAATCTATGATGCTGCTGGAGATAAACAACAAGCATATCAATTTTATAGTGATGTAAACTCCCTATACATATTTCATTTTATTCTATTCTGTTTTATTCTATTCTATTCTATTTTATTCTATATACATATTTCATTTTATCCTATTCCATTCAATTTATTATATTGTTGAAGTATGTATCTCTACAGTCTTATAGATTTTTCCCCGCCAATTTCGAGGTAATTGATTGGCTCGGATCATATTTCGTATCAATGCAACTTGCTGAAAAAGCGTTAGTTTATTTTAAAAAAGCAGTAGAACTTGCTCCTGATGAACCAAGATGGCGATTACTTGTCGCTGCATGTTTAAGACGAATTGGTCAATTTCATAAGGCTGTTTTGGAATATCAAGATATTCATAACAGATTTCCTGATAATATTGAGTGCTTGAAATTCTTGGTGCGGTTATGTAGTGATCTAGGATTAAAAGAGACACAATTATATGCAACAGAATTAAAACGCGCAGAGAAAGCAAAAGAATTGAAGGACAGACAAGGATCAGCAAGACCAGGTATACATATGATGCATATTTTTAACTGTGTATGAAACATAATGTTGTTACAATATTTAATATTTATTTATAGGTTCAAGGAGGAGTAACAGTGGGACATCATCACGGACTGGTTCTGGAATCAGCGTATTATCAGATCACAGATCAAGTCCCACATTCAATAGAAGAGAAAATCAAGGTTTAAGTAGTGCTGGTACCACGCGACCTAATCGAATTTCTACAACTGAAAATATTACGGAAGTGACAAATGATGTTACTGATCAAACAGGTACGCAATCATTGTAGAAAAATAGTAAATTTCATTGCAAAATAGTAGATGAATGAGCATTTACTAGAGCTTACTTAGCTTTATCTGAAATGAACATTAACAAGAATGATCTACCGATGATAGTTGAACTACCCTAATGGATTGAATAGATGATAGATGAGTCTAGCTATTTTGAACATCCTATTCTCGATCCTTGTATATAGTAATCAATCCCAGACGGGATTCATTCTATAGTTTATTATTGAATTTTTAAACATAATTCAACGGCACAAAGTGACGTTAAAGTATAAGTGCATGTAAAAAATATTTTCTGTAGGCACTCCTTATGTTGATCCCATTGGCCCATTACCTATTCGTCCTATGACGTCTGCCGGAAAGAGAGACGATGATTTCGGCGATGAAGAACTCGGGGATGATCTGTTACCGGAATAGTATGAATTTATTATATTCATCAGTTTTATATTTTATCTTATGGTTTTTATCAACATAATGCTAGTTGAAAGTACAAAGAAAAATATAATAAATGAGAGTAGAGATTTATATATCTTTTTTATCTTATGTTAATTATGCTTCACTACGTCAGTCGTTTAACGATCACATTAAAAATCTTGCGCTCATTTTTATCTACTTCATTATTTATATTAATATCATAAAGTTCAATATTTCTTTACACATCAAAGTCAAGTATGAACACACGTCCGGAATCTTGACATCTCCATTGTGCTTTTATTAATTATCATTTCGAAGTGCAAGTTGCTTGTCTATAGAATGGTGCTATACATTATGAAACCACGAGGGTCAGGCAATTGTAACGATCTAAATTTAAACACGCTGACCAATTTAATCAAACTCCATTCAGCCGATGTAGTTTAGGAGACGGATGTTATTTTATTGCAGCTATATTCAAACTTCATTCAACTGACATAATGCGAACCTGTAATGCTGTAAGAGTATTGGGAACGTGTCGTTTTAAATTTCCCTATCTCTTTATCTTTATTATATTTATTACAAATAAACTTTTATTGTACAGTAATTATTTACATATATTTTATGTAGCCTCGACTTCTTTCATCCTTTACTGATTGTGAGTTTGAGCCTATCACGGAACTACCGAAGAAAATGAAGACTCGTGGAAAACGTATGTGAAAAAGAATGGGAGAAAAATACGGGAGCTGTCGCCTGAGAAATCCTTGCATTTCACGCGATTTTGGATCGCGAGTACAATATATCACGTGGTATCAATGCACACGATATCCTAGAACGCGCGTGTATGCGCATTCACGCGATATATTAAAGAGATTATTATGACTGTCTGCCTCTCTGTGCGCGACACAAGTACACAAGCGTAAGGCTAGATGTAGTGGCTCGCGTGCGTGAAACCACTGTAAACGCGCGTATGAGCGCGAAGGCGCGCGCACGTAATACGCACCGATATGGTTTTGAAGTTCGAGCAGTGGGGAAAGCGACGATCTGGAGGCTCGACCAGTTGCTACTCTGAGACGGAGTACATTTCATGGTATCCCACCCACGTGCTTGTACGTGTGAGTGCGCTCTGTCGTGTGCCGAGAAACTTTACAGTCACTGACCCGGTAACTGGAACCAGCGAAGGATAGAAAAGGATCAAGAAGCTGAGGCGATCGCGCGAATACGTCAGTCATACGTAGAAAGTGTAGGGTGAGCTTGTGTTTCTCATTTTCCTAGAACCGGGCGCACGCGCTAGTTGGCGCCATCAGGCTCGTTGATCCTTGACAACGGGAGTATGTTTGATTTGTTCGTACAGCATCGGTGTCATCGGTGTAATATCGTGTATTGATTTCGTATTCGGCTGACGCAGATTTATTATTCCTCTAACCGGTTTCGAACGTGATGTCATTGTCGCGGCATAAGAAATTCAATGTAAAGACATGTATTCCCGTGTTTACTTTGTTGACGAGACCACGTGGGTCCTTGAAATGTTACACTGCATGTGTTGTCATTGTACTTTAACGTATTCCTATGATTTTACTCCAGTGTAGGCTCTAACTTCACGCTCGTCGAGCTGTTCAAAATTCAAACGTTATCATCGTCACATCTCGTACATATTCACGCTACATTTTCCTTTGCACTTTATTAGACTTTGCTATTGACGATTATGCCGCCGGTGTTACCGCACATTTGTCAAACGCTTGTCACTCGTGATAAATATTTCATCACGTGGTCTAATGATTATCGGGGAAATTAATTTTGTAATATAAAAAATATAATGTGTCAAAGTACACGTGAGTTTATCGTATGATCTTCGACGCCTTTGAAATTAAAATCACATATTTTATCTTTCGCCCTACACGTGTCATATCTACATTTGTCTGAATAGGTCTCGTTTCTCTTGGCGCATAAAACTCGTCGAATCAACACGGAAGATTGACAACTATTTTAAGCAACACGTGTCTACGAATGTGTTTCGGATCCAATGATTTCACGAATATCCATAATGTATCTAAAAATAACGCGCCGATCGCGCGAATCTTTATAATATTATCGCAAATTTGTTGTGTAATTACAACATTACAATACAATTGTGTAATTACAACATTACATTACAATTTTAATACATGGATAATAACGATATTGACAAGGATAAGTTTCGTCTTACTCCGATACAATATCATTGAAATAGATCGCGAAACGATTTTTTTTTTCTCTTTATGCTCTTTTAAATTTTCGAAGGAGCGAGCACATCTAGCGCAGCGAAACGTAAAATGAGCCGCCGCATTATCAAGGGAATTCTATTCGATTAAGATTTATTCGAGACCTTGGTGATAATGGTCCCGTAATTCACGGAAGCTCTATAATTCAAGCGGTAAAGATCATACATAACCGCTCTTAACGAAAGACTAGTCCACGTTATCGTGAACGTGAACGTGCGTTTGGTCGAATGCTGTCTTCGTGAGTATTAATTTTTTGCAACCAAGTTGACGTAAACGTTGCGAACGTTTTTTTGCGCGCTGCTCGTACGTCGAACTCTCTCGTGACATTCTGCTTACGTCATGTTCGTTAATCCGATAGATCGATAGCGGTCAGGCGATAAACTGAAAAAAAAGCACAATGCTAGATCATATTAATCAAACGGTCTAGGTGAAAAATGAGGATAATTCGCGACAGAGTACGTGCTTCCCTATGGGACCATGGAGGATGAAATGTGACGGTTAACACACGGTCCCCGTGACCAGTGTGCGTATTGCACTATGGATTAGAATCATCACGTCAGGTCAAGTGGTTAAATTATCCTGGTTGATGCTTTGCACCTTCCAATTGATATTAATGGAGCCTTCGTTCAGAAGCGACTTTGCTGTCTCGAAGAATATTCTGGTGACGTTTCGCGGTGTCTTTTCCCTCTGGTAATCGACCGTGAAAAATCTATCACGAATTGAATCCCAACTTAAACGATCGTTGATCGAATCAACCGATCCGTCGGAGAGAAAGACCATTGACGCTCGAAATCAAAAGCGGAATAATTGAGTTTGCTTTTATACGGTTACAGCGGATCCTAACGATTAGGTGCAATTTACAACGGGTACATAGTAATTTGTTCGTACGTACGCTACGAGTACGTACGTTTCGTTACTTGTTCTTGTATATATCTTTTTTTTGTTGTATCTACTATTCAAAGTTATTGGGCGCTTTTCATTCGTTATAACTTTCTACGTACAATTTCCCTCTATCTACTCGCGAACAATTATACTTAACGTCGGGGAATTGTTACGGAAAGGACTTAACAGGTAATAAAAGTAATATATGTCAGTGGTATGCGAAGAACGAGGCACGTAGCTCGGCGGATCTTGCTTGTCAAACGGGTTCTTCAACTTTTATATCCTTAATGTCGACGCCGAAACTGAAATTTATCCTCTGTTCCGAGTTGTACCGACTGCTTTATTCGCTCAAGAAGTAGATCTTGATTTTCTTCAGTGTTCATGACAACTGGACGACATAAGGCGGATAATATTTTCGAATTGAATTATCCTTTTAAGTTCAATGAACTGCTCAATCGATTCAAATGATCAGTTTATGCACAAGACTGTACTTGAAATACGTGCGCGCAGACGCGACGCGTGTATTCCAATTTTATATACGCGTGTATTCATTGCGTACCGACGACATGCAGCTCCAAATACACCCAACACATGAGACGTTCACGCTCATAAATCGCGGCGTGTGATTATGTACGATGTATCTCGCCGAATCTGAAGGATGTCGCAGCTTCGATAGAGTGTGATCAGTGAACGGTGAATGTAAGATACTGTTTTTCCTTGACGAACTTCCCTCGAAATTTGTATCCAGTGTTACTTGTCTGTCACTGTTGCAACACATTTGCAGGTTCACACGATTGACTCCTCGTTATCTTTCGGGTTTTTCATTCGGTCGATATTTGTCTGTAAGAGTAAAATACTTTTAAGAGCTAACGTGAACATATTTATCGTGAAACTGTCGGAAAGAATGCTCGCACAAGTTACATCACGTATTTGTATATTCCCTCTTTATCAATTAACGAGATAATGTTACGATAGTTGATGACCTGCAGAGCAACGGCTGTCTGCCTTGTCTGCAACGATCGTGTCTTTTCTATAAATTTTAGACACACTTCCTTTTCCTTCTTTTATCGAGGCCGACGTTGTTGCACAGATGCACTATATAATAACGTTTGCTCGTTAAAATTCCTCAACGTTGGCCAAATTATCGATCGACTCTGATCTTCATATTCAAAACATTTTTACTACGACCCACTTATTCTTAGCACGTGAGATACGGATTAATGATTTGTCGGTTATCTGTATTATTAATTAATTTAAGCAACGTGATCGAACGACGTGGAAGTAATCCATTATCTGCGTCAGAATTAACAGAAGACGGGACGATGTTATAATCCATGCGACTCGATTACGAGTTATCAAATGTTATAAAATATCGTGGACTTTCAACTTTAATAGTAACACGCTATTATCTCGCCGAATGTCGAGGGGCAGTGGAGAAGGAGGGAAAATAAATAAGCGTGTAACAGTAAACGGGGTGATCTTTTTAACTTGACTTCAGAACGTCTCTCGTGCTCGTGGAGAACCACGCGACAATCCGTCTTGCGGCGTACACTTTATCAACCATCGCGAGAAATTCATTCAAGTTCTCTAGCCTTCTGCGAGTCTTCTCATTCAAAAACCTTTATTTAACAATAATATTCGCGACAATCAGGTGAGCACAAAGTGTGCGTCTTTTTTCTTCCCCTCAATGACATTATTACCATTCATCCTGAAAATACTTGTTATGTATTAAATTTTGTGTATTAAACTTTCACTGTATATCATTTTTCTCGTGTTTCGCTAAACGAGTTCTATGAACACAATGAAGCTTTCCTTACGTGAACTTCTATTTTTTTAAATATGTTATATCGTCAAGAGTTATATCATTTAGTGATGTAACGTTTGAACATTAAGATATTCGAGAAATAAATGTTCACATAAGAAATGAACAAGCGAAATGTTGCCAATGTTGTCTGATGGTTTTCTTACTTTTCAGATAAATAAGATCTCTCAGACATGGTCGTCCCTACGGAACATGCTCTTAATGAGGCGATACAAGTAGCCCCGTTGGTACTTTCAGACGATGTGAAGAGACAGAAGGTGAGTAGAAACGATACGTTTGTATTTTTTACATGCGGTTATTCCGACGACTTTTTGTCGATCGTGAACTTCTATTCCTTATATTTGCACGGGTCAGAGGTTCTATTACGTGAATGCGCGATACCAAGTATTTAAGACGAATTTGTGGAAATTATCTGTCACAGTTACTTACGAATATTATTTGACCGTCCCAGAAATTTACCATTCCAAAAGTTTGTCCAATCCAGAGTTATAGTTGTAGTTGTAGATACATGTTCTCTTTCCCGTCCATACGTTCCTTGCATAATTGATCGATATCTGACTGATCAATGTCGACCAGGCTGAATCATTGCCGATGTAAGAAACGTTGCGAACGTTGAGTCCTTAACCTTACGACATTCTCGTTAAGAGTTTACTGACATCCATCGATCCTCGTGCACACACTTTCACTTTGTTCTCGCGGATCTCTGCAGCAATGTCCGCCAAGAGCAATTCACTCCATTTGGTGTATGCACCTTTCTTGAATGTGTACAATTAGTTACGTAACCGTTTGTCGTTTGTATAGAAATCATTTAATTCGTAACAACGTGCGTGCGTGCTGTGTCTCAATAAGAATTGAAAGGGATTTTTCCTCTACGAAAATCTCGCGATCTTGATGCTCAAGACAGAAACAAGAAATTCGACCAGTTGTCACGTGTTTAGTCGTAAGTCGTCTCTTTATCACGTCTTCTGGTATAAAAGGTCATCGTAGGCGATTTTTATGACAAAAAGTTCAAGATTTTCAAATAAGTTATCAGCAAAGATACGTCGTTTTTCTTGGCTGTAGAAACGAACAGAACGAAGATAATTAATAGTTTTATTGATTCGCAGTAATAATCGGTTAGAGATAAAAAAAAAAAATAGCGGACCTTCACGGTTTCTTTGATTGAATGGGATTTCGCAACAATCGACAATGCAAATGTCGACAATGCGTGGGCACGTATGATAAATGTTTGCACAGAGAACCAAGTTGCACAACTTCCATTAAAGTAGTCTGAGCAATGTCACGGTTAATTTCTGTTTACTCTTGTTTCACCATGATTTGGGTTCCTCCCTCGATCGTTTTTTTTTTTTTTTTTTTTTTTTTTTTTGAATCGATACGAAACAGATAAGCGTCGAGGAAACAGGACGTGGCAATAATTTCATCCATCGCTATCGCTGGATATCACGTTGACAATTCAATCGATGAAACAAGCAATAAATTTTTCCCCGCTTAAACTGTCGTGTCGTTTAATACCTATGCACTGCCGACGAACTGCTTGTTTACGTGCAAGTATAAAACACAATTCTCCCAGCGACAAGTACACAGTCCCAACAAGATGATATTATTCGATCAAGCTATTTCTTTCTTGTCTTTGACTCGTCGATTTAATATCGATTTTCAGAATTTTTACGTTTTGCCTTGATGATGATGTTTGCGTGAGTACAACCGGTTTGCCTTCGAGGAAGTGAAATATCAGTATTATCATCCTGCTCGTGGGAAGCCTTCTGTTTTTTCAATGTTGCACTCTTTACACGTACATCGAATTCCGAACTAGAAAACAAATCGATATTAAGAGAAGCGATATTAAAAATTCGCAGTCTCAATAATATGTACTTACAGGTGAAAATTAACAGCGTTCTTCATTTGTGCGACGACACCGCATTTCTTATATAAATCTGGAATGTAAAGAATCTTTTATCACGTGTATCGGAGATCCTATTGTTCGATTAGAACTTCCTTCAAATGTTTTGTTGTTGTAAATTTTGAAATCTTTTTTTATCGCGATCTGTCATCTGACTAATGCGAACGAACGTCTGTATTTAAAGATCACGTAACAGGGATTACAGGTAAACACGAAATTTCCTTATTACTTTTATCAGAGGATTATTAAGATTTATGACTCGTGGAAAATTTTCCAACGATGTTTCGTTCCGATCAAACACTTCCGATTACGATCACAGTAGATAATATACAACGATGGCTTAAATGATCGTGTTTGCAGATCGAACAAAGATTGGCACGTTTGCAATTTTCGGCCGCTACTGTCAGGAAGATCCAGGATGTTTTCGTGTCGGAGATGAATAAGGGAATTCATCAGCAGCCGTCATCGCTGCAGATGGAGAATACTTACGTACCGGAGCTTCTCGATGGCACAGGTTATTATTATAACAATCTCCGATAAGAATTTTTACCGATTACGATAAGTATTACCGTATCTACTTTCCAATATATAATGGACAGAAGTATTCTTACCATTGAACAATGGTTATTAAGATATCAAGTACAACGCATTTAATAATACGAGTGGAAAAATTGTAATTTTTAATTGTAATTGTAATTTTTCACTGTACTCGTTGATGACGATGCTAACGCCGTGATATATTTTCAGAGGAGGGTTTGTATTTGGCGCTGGACCTTGGAGGCACGAATTTTCGAGTACTTCTTTTAGAGTTGGCTCATGGTACACCTATACGCGAAAAGGTGAAGAAATACCACATTAGCTCTGATTTGAGAGTAGGCTCGGGGATTCGTCTGTTTGATTACCTAGCGGAATGCGTCAGTGATTTCGTCATTGCACACGGTCTTCAGGATGTAGAGCTTCCTCTTGGTAAATTAGAATCGATGTACATCACGCTTCAGACGTCGGAAGAATCACTTGTGAGACTTTAATTGCCTATGACCCGCGGTTTCTCAGAAATGACTTCTTGCAATTCAAGGATAGTTACAATTGCCTCGAGTCCGGGCAAAAATTCTATCTGAGAATGTCAATTTCATGTTTTCCAAGCACTTGCTGCTATCAACTCTTGAGTATTATGTTCCCACATTGATTTTACGAATTCAAGTGGATGATACTTGTATGTCGATTGAACATAGATTACTCTGATCTCACAAGCGATCGATAATTCTTAAAATAACATGATTAATACACAACGTGAATATACTTTTGCTTTCGATATATATGTCGACTCTCTTGTTTCTTAGGATTTACCTTCTCCTTTCCGATGATTCAACATTCGTTGGATATTGGAATATTGGTAACTTGGACTAAAACTTTCAATTGTCCCGATGTTGTCAACGAAGATGCCGTGAAGCTGCTTCGCGAAGCTTTGGATCGTCGAGGAGACACTAAAGTAAAAGTCATGGCGATCCTAAATGACACGACAGGAACGTTGGTGCAAGGATCAACGTTGGACCACGATATTGCCATCGGACTTATCTTAGGTACCGGTAGCAATGCCTGTTATCTTGAACGAGCCGATAGAGTCGAGCATTGGGAGACTGAGAGACACGGAGAACGCGAAGTAACTTTTCCCTACCGTTTTATTCTCGTACGCATTTGTTCTTGAAGTTCTCAAGTTGCTTATTGTTATTAAAGGTTATCATCGATATTGAATGGGGTGCATTTGGAGACAACGGTGTCCTGGACTTCATCAAAACGGATTACGATCGTGAAAACGACGCGAATTCACTTATTGTAAATTCGTTTACGTGAGTAATTCAATTCATTGGAAAATATATGAGATGTGAAAGTTCTTCTCCTGGTAAATTTATCATATCATGATTTCTTTAAATTATCAGGTTCGAAAAGTACATCAGTGGAAAATACCTGGGTGAGATTGTGCGAGTGGTACTCGCAAAGTTAACTAAGGAAGGTCTTCTATTTATAGGGGATCACACGCCCGGATCTCTTTTAGTTCCGGGCAATCTCACCAGCGATTTAGTATCTGATATTGAACAGTATGGTGTTTTTAACTGAGAGATTTTTATCTTTCCGTATCTTTGTCCTGAAAATTTGTAATACTATATGTAAATATTATGCAGAGACTCTGTGGACGGTGGTGATAGTAATACGAAAGAAATTCTGATGAAGTTTGGTATTGTTCCGGACGAAGAAGATATCAAAATCGTACAATATGTTTGTGAAGTAGTGTCCAATCGTGCAGCTCTTCTCGTTTCAATTTGTAAGTTCAATTCAATTTGTAACATATGATAGAATCAATTAGTAAACGAACGGTATTAGATTGCTAAGCAAATTTATTTCTTTAGGTCTAGCAGTTCTGTTGAAACGAATCGACAAGAAGAATGTCACAATTGCTGTAGATGGATCTCTTTACAAGCACCACCCTAGACTAGAGACATGGATTAAACAATATATTCCACTATTAGCTCCTGATCATAAAGTATGTTTTTATAAAATATTTTTCATTGTTTCATTCTTTTTATGAAATTAATAATTGATGTCCAGTTCAAGATGATTCACGCTGAGGACGGAAGTGGAAAGGGTGCTGCACTAGTTGCTGCGATTGCACAAAGACTTCACGAAAGATTAGGCTAGTAGTAGGTAAAAGTTTCAAGTACGCTGGCGTATAAGTTTCTTGTTAGTGGTGTGAACGATTTGCATCAGATCTCTAGTTGAGCAATTGTTCAGAGTATAGTATAACTTTAACGGCCATGTACAGTCACATTCCCTATCTTAATAACGTCATCATTCACATTTTTAATCTTCCACATTCGAAGATGTTGCATATATTTTCGTTTATATTTTTAATATGGTTGCATACAACTTGTTATATCGATGGTGTTGTAATTGAAGGCGTTTCGTCGTCATTCGCTTCATATCACAGTGGTGATATTCGGGGGAGGAGTTTATGTATTGTATATTTTTACAAAGAAAACCTTTAGAAAGCATACGATTCCTAAAAGGAATGTAAAATGTCATTTTATCACATGTCTTCGAATGTTTGTGTACTTTGCTTAGAATGCTACATTCTACAGCGTTTTTGGAAGCTATGTATCTTCCTGAATGCTTATGTTTGAATATATCGTAGAGTTTATCTTTCTTACATTGTTTAAAACATTCGTGTCGTTATTTGTTTCTTTTTATCGTCTTTTACGCAAGGTAAAAGAAATTAATTGAATCTTACCTGTTGGAGATATTTCTCGCAATTTAGGAAATGAAATAACGTCGCACTGGTCGACATTAAACATTTTGACGAAAGTTTCAGAGTTCAATAACTTTTATAGGAAGCATTATCTCAAACTCTTTTGAAAACGCATACAACGTAAAGTCGTTGGAAATGAACCACTTAGTACATGAC